TCGTTCTATATTTTACCCTTCTCAGTCTTGGGGTATCCTGTCTCTGTGAAGATCTTAAAAATCAAGGGCTTCTAGTTCCAGGTAGCAGTTGTTGTGTGGTCAGCTCCAGCTGATTGGATCTGTTGAGGCCGTTGAGTAGACATAGGAAGTCCAGGGGCCTAAGGCAGTGACTGTTCACTTTCTGAGGCAGACCAGGAAAAAGGAAAAGATCCCGACCACCCCATCTTCATGAAGCGTTGGAGGGGAAAGGACTATTTCCTCATGTGACAGCAGAAACAGTAAGGCATTTTTAGCCAGGGCCTTGGGGTGCCTGAATGTTGTTTCCCCAGATGGTCGGATTGAATCAGATCCAGAGCTGTTGCTGTGAGCACCAAGGATTTGGGGAGAAAACGGGTGCCAGTGAAAATTGAGTTTGCTTCAGCATCACCACCTCTCGATCTAAGATTTAAAAGAAACAAAGAATGAAGGAAGAATAGATTAGATAAAATCATGGAAGAATTCCTTTATAACCTCAGAAGGGAAAGGCCTTTCCAAATCTGACACAAAATCTAAAAATATTGATAAAATTGAACCACATTAATAAAATACAAACATGGCCATGGCAAAAGCCATGATAAAACACAAAGTATAAACTAGGGAAGGAGAATTTGCCATTTCTATAGCAATGGGATCATTTCCTTATTACTAAAAGTTTCTTCTACAAACTGATAAGAAAAAGACTAAGCCAAATTGGAAAATGGGCAAAGGATGTAAACAGATTCCAGAAAGGAACTACAAAAAATCAAAGGAGAGATATTCAGCCACGCTCATAATAAAATAAGTGCAAGTTATAACCAGGGTTTGGGACCAGTTCATTCCAGTTGAATTTCTGCAGAGAATTTTCCTTTCCATCTCAGATATACTGATTCCAAATTTATATTTCAACAAGATTCCCAGGCAATCTTGTGGATTCAGTATATCAGGATGAAAATACAAATCCTCTGCAGGAGGTAGAATCAGAATGAACTGGCTTGAAGCCCTGGTTATGACTAGAACATGATACTGTTTCTTTTCCTATCATCATGCTACAAAGGTCAAAAAGTTTGATAAACACCTTTGTGCATAAAGCTGAGGGAAAGGAGGTTAGGAACCAGAGGGGACGGGGTGGAGAAAGTGGCATTGAAGCTGGGCCTTCAAGGGCAGATAGTTACAATCTAATCTAGCAACTAAATGGCTCTTAAAAGAAGAGGAAATAATAAAGGGCAAGATGGAAAGATCTGACTACTAAGTGTACATTAAAATGTACACACAAAATTTAAAGCCTAACAAATTGGACTGTTTGCAGCAACGATCAGAGCTTGAGTTTGAACATAGACAGAGTTTATTCAACACATAGACAAAGTCTTCATTAGGCTCAGTGTGAGAAGCATTCTAATGGCACTCAAAGAATCAACAAAGGACATGAAAAAACACCTCCTGGTCTACGTCCTATTCGAGAGTAGCAATTGAGGTCATAAAGGCCTGTGAGTGGCCCTCTCAGGTGCAAGGATTAGTCTCTGTTGAGAGCAAATAAGAATGAAGAAAATCAGAGGGTCATGGAAACAATTGGTGAGCCACATGAACCCCAGCCACCTTGACTCTGACACCAGAAAAACTGGATAGTGCCTAGCTGCCACTATGGACTACTCTAAAAGGAATCACAATAGGGGGCCCTGGATGGAATGGGAGAAAAATGTGGACCAAAACTCAAAATCATGAAAAAAGACCATGCTTACTGATCTGATAGAGACTGGTGGAAGCCCCTGAGAGACTATGGCCCTTTGTTGTTGTTAAGTGCTGTTGAGTCGATTCCAACCCATAGCGACCCTGTATAGGGTTTCCGAGGAGCAGCTGGTGAGCTTGAACCGCCAACCTTGAAGTTCAAACGGCTTTGTAGTCTGGTGCGTTAACCCACAGAGCCACACCAGTGCTCCTAAACACCCTTTAAGCCCCAGTGGCTCAGCTTTCAGCCAAACAATAGGCTGTTGTATACGGTGAACAATAAGAGCAGGGAAGGCTGCACCCCTTAGAATAGTCAACAGTGGGGATCAAAGGACAGCGTTTGACCTGGGATAAAGCTCAGAAGCTAGAAAGGGAGAGGAAGAAGGATGGATGGGGAGAGAGGTTATAGGCAGAATGCTCTAACATTGTGAGGACTGCAGTCAATGCTACAAGGTGAACTGTGTTTGAATTGTTGAACAGAAAACCAGTTTTCTCTGTAAAATTTTAAAGTTTTGTTTTAAAAAAGCAATTCCTAAAATAGAACATACTATTAGTTAATAATCACATAGAAAAAAAAATTCAACGTATAAATAATCAATACCTGCAAGATGATTCAATGTTTTAATGATAAGTCATTACAAATTAGAACATTTTTTTTGTTTGTTTCTCTTTGTTGCTAAGAATGTGGTAAAATTTGCCCTCTAATTTTATACTTGGATACAATCCTTTTTCTGAATAAGTATTAACTCTGAAGTCCCTGAGTGGTTCAGATAGTTAAGTGCTGAACTACTAATCGAGAAAATGAAGAGGACTTAAAATATTTACTGATGAAGATCAAAGACCACAGCCTTCAGTATGGGTATGGATTGCACCTCAATGTAAAGAAAACAAAAATCCTCACTACTGGAGCCAAAAAATAGCATCATGATAATTGGAGAAAAGATTGAAGTTGTCAAAGGCTGCATTTTACTTGGATCTACAGTCAACATTCATGAAAGCAGCAATCAGGAGATCAAACGATGCATTGCATTAGGCAAATCTGCTGCACAAAACCTCTTTAAAGTGTTCAAGAGTAAAGATGTCAGTTTGAGGACTAAAGGTGAGTCTGACCCAACCATGGCATTTTCAACAGCCTCATATGCATGTGAAAGTTGGGCAGTGAATAAGCAAGACTGTAGAAGAATTGATACATTTATGTTACGGTGTTGGAGAAGAAAATTAGAACTGGAATGCTAGAAGAACAAACAAATCTGTTGTTTTTACAACCAGAAAGCTCCTTGGAAGCCAGGATGGCAAGACTTCGTTTTCCATACTGCTGACATATTATCAGGAGGGACCAGTCCCTGGAAAAAGATACCATGTTGGGTAAAGTGGAGGGTCAGCAAAAAAGAGGAAGGCCTTCAACAAGACGGATTGACACAGTGGCCACAGCAATGGGCTCAAAGCCCATTGGTACTGACTTGATGGCACCTAACAACAACAATGAACCCAGAGGTCTGTGGTTAAACCCACCAAGAGGTGCCTTGAAAGATAAGTGATCTGCATCTGAAATGTGGAAACCTTGAAAACCCTATGGAGTACTTCTACTCTGTATACATTGAATGAGCTGGAATTGACTCAACATCAGCTAATAACAATGACAAATTGTGAACAGGCCCCCAAATTGAGAATTATTCCATAAATTGTGGAATATTCACATGCTGGGATATAATACAATTCTTTAAATGTTTAAAAGCAATTTTTAACAGTATGGCTAAATGCTTCTTGTTGTTGCTAAGTACCATGGAGTTGGTTCTGACTCATAGTGACCCTGCACAGGGTTTCTAAGGCTGTACATCTTTACAGGAGCAGAAAGCCTCATCCTTCTTCTGTGGAACAGCTGGTAGTTTCGGACTGCCGACCTTGAGGTTAGCAGTGCGATCTTAACCACTACACTCAGAGTAGAATCATTTTATGTGGGTGTGGGGAGTGGAACGCCAACTGAATTGTGTATATAGAATGAGTTTAAGAATCTTAAAAAAAATTTTTTACCCGGTTGGAGACCTGGTTGGTCAGCAGTGTGGCAAGACCTAGGGACTCTTAGGTCCAGAGTCAGTGACATAGTCACAGAGAACTAGAGTAGAGAGTGAAGTGTCCAGCTGATAAGAAGAGAGGGCATATGCATAAGAACACCCACACTTGCAGATAATACCCACTTGACCTGGCTTCAATGATTGGATGATCAGAGCTCAACTAGGAGAAGAAAGAAGAAGAAAAAAAGAGTAATCTGATACAGTTTGATGAACTTGACCTACACCTATGGATCCAGTAGCTCAAAAGAGGGAACAAATCCTTACATCAAGGATCATTCCCACCCCCTCCATACACAGAGTAGACAGGGATGGGCAACTTGGACATTGCTTACCCAAAATAGGGGGCTACAAAGGCAAGAAGTGACTGGCTTACAAGAGGGAGCCTAGATCCCGAGGGCACAGAGGAAGGTAGAATCTTCACTGAGTAGTATCCAATCTATCTAGGTGGGGCTGATGAAATGAAATGCGGATAGGTCTCTTGTGATACAATAGTGAATAATTGTTATCAGGACTGATTGTGAGGGTTGGAAAGGTAAAGGTAGACGTTTTGTAGCAAGGAGGGGAGTGATTAACTTTTCAGCCTAGGAGCAGAGGTCCCTGGGACCATCAAGGGAAGAGAGCAGGACCCTACCCAGAGAAGCAGTGATGCCTGAGATGGAGGCAGAGATGATGACGTGGAGCGATGGAGCAGTTGGGGACTTTAGACACAGAAAGGGAGAGGGGCTGTGTGCTGATGACTGGGGGGGCAGGCTTGTAGTGTATATCCTTTAGTTGGTTAATGATGCATGGTGGGGATTGTAACCATGGCAATGAAACGATATGATATATGATAGGATGAATGTAAAACTATCAATTCTCCCATGTAAACTATCATATAATTCACAATAAAATATTTTAAAAAAATTCTTTGCCTAGAAAAAGGATTGAAAGGAAATAGATATTATCAGAGGGGTAGATTATTGCTTGTTTTTATTTCTTTCTCCCTTTATGTGTGTGAGTTAATTTACCTTTTCTCCAGTTATCATGCATTGTTTTCAGGATACAAATGCTTTACAAATAAATACCTTGCCCTTTGTGTTGGTCTTTCGTCCATGTCAGAGCTAAGGCCTGTGTTCCCTTTGAAAAGATCCTGGGCTCATAGCTGGAAGGTCCACCACTAAAAAGCGTTTTCTCTTTTGTGTTTTTCAGCTTTCTTTTGCTGCTACCACACCTGTCCTAGCTGATAAGAAAAAATACCCTTATTTCTTTCGGACCGTCCCATCAGACAATGCAGTGAACCCAGCCATCCTGAAGCTATTGAAGCATTACCAGTGGAGGCGCGTGGGCACGCTGACGCAGGATGTGCAGAGGTTCTCAGAGGTATGCCGCACTCTCACGTCAATAAGTTCGCCCCAGCTTTACTTGGGAAGTACTGTCCCCTCCTAGCAAGGAACATTACGACTTCACCAGAGATGGGTACCTTGAGGCTTTTACTAATGCGTGTTTTAGTAGGATCCAAGCTGTCTTCCTATTGTCAAAATAGAGCCAGTAGCTGAAGAAAAAGATGGTGCATTTGTGTGATGAAACTCTCCAACCAAGATTGCTTTCCTTGTACATTTCTAGCTGAATTGTGTGAATTATTTTCTCAATGAGTTGTCCTTGTTACAAATGCTGTGTTGTTATCAGCTGGCATTGAGTTGATTCTGACTCATAATGACCCCGTGTGACAGAGCTGGATTGTCCCATAGGATTTCAGAGGGAGGCAATAGATTAGTTTTTTGCTGTTGTTGTTGTTTAATCTTTATGGAAGCAAATTGCAAGGATCTTTTCTCTCACCGAGCCACTGGGTGAGTTCGAACCACCAACCTTCTGGTTAACTGCTGAGTTCTTAACCGTTGCACCTCCCAGGCTCCTACAAAGGCTGTTGTTGTTAAGTGCCATCAAGCCAGTTCTGACCCATAGCGACCCTGTATAGAGTTTCCAAAGAGCAGTTGGTTAGCTTGAACCACTGACCTTGCATTTCAAATGTCTTTGCAGTCCAGCGTATTAACCCACAGCACCACACCACGATTCCACAAATGTTGTAGTGACCATTTAAAATGGTAATGAGCTTCTAAGAGATTTTCTCCTGTGAGGAGAATTTTTGACAGGAGCTGGTTTAGAATTTTTGATTTTGTTGTAGTTTGTTTTCACATCTTGCAAACATACATTAATACATGGTTTGTTTTCTTCTTTGCAAAAATGTAGTCGATGCCAGATATACAGAGAATAAAAAAGTTTTAAGTGTTGCTTTACCTCTCTTCCTCTAAATCTCTCTCTCCCAAACTAACCTTGTTCTCAGTTTGGTATTCATATGACCAGAACTTGTAAAATATATATATATTTTTAAATCTACATGACTTCATGGAGTGCTGGTGTGGTGCCATAGGATAAGCACTCAACTGCAAGATCGGTTTGAACCGCAAAGTCGGTGGTTCAAACTCACCAGCTGCTCCTCTGACAGGGGCCCTATACAGAGTTAACAGCAACAATATGACTTCATACTATAATTTTGCTTTTTACTATTTCTAGTCGATCTTGAGATCTTGATTGATCTTAATAATGTTGTTGTTAAGTGACATCAAATCAATTCTGACCCATAGAGACTCTGTATAGGGTTTCCAAGGAGCAACTGGTGAGCTTGAACCACTGACATTGAGGTTCAGACCAACTCTGCAGTCCAGCATGTTAACCCACAGCACCATAGCAGCATAATAGTCTGCCAAGTTTATGTGCCAACATTTATTGATTCTATGGGTTAATGTGCTGGATGGTAAGGTCTGTTTGAACTGAAAGTTTGGTGGTTCAAGCTCACCAACCGCTCCTTGGAAACCTTATACAGGGTAACAGTTGGAACTGGCTGGATAGCACTTAACGACAACAAAAACAACAATGGATAGACAAGGGGCCTGGTGACAATGGGATAAGCATTAGGCTGCTTATAAAAAATGTGATGGTTCAAACCCACCAGCTCTTCCATGGGAGAAAGACGGGGCAGTGTGCTACCTTAAAGATTACAGCCTCAGAAAGCCTACAGAACAAATCTGATCTGTCCCTGTAGGTCTGCTGTGAGTCAGGATTCAGGGCAGTGGGTATGGATGGACAAGTTGTTCCCAGTTTTTGGATATCATAACCAATACCACAGCGGACATGTGCACACTTACCTGTGTGCCTACTTGTGAATCATGGTAAAAGATTTCTAGGAGTGGAATTACTGGGCCATTTAAAATGTTTAGAGGAGCTGACCTTTAAAAAGACTGTTCCGATTTCTGTTCCCACAAGCAGTTTTGAAGTTTCATTTCCACACATTCTCAACCAAAAGGAGATCTTAGCAAAGCTTTTTTTTTTTTTTTTTAAATCTCGTTTCAGATGAGTGCAAAATGATCACTTGTCTTTTTTTTTTGTCATTTGCTTTATGTATCTGACTCTCATGTCTATTCCCAAGTATGTTCTTGATACTTGGGAACCCCCTCAAAGACAAGACATTCCAGATGCATTTCGCAGCCTAAGAGGAATACAAAACAATGGTTACATGTTAGTGTGTTCATTGCCTAGGCTGCTGTAGCGACTTAAAACCAAGAGGGCCACTTAATCCCCCAGAAGTGCAACCTCTCACAGCTCTGGAGGCTAGACCTCTGAGGTCACGGTGTTGCAGGGCCCTACTCCCTCTGCAGGATCGAGGGAATCATCCTTGCTTGCCTTTTCCATCCTTCTGCTAAGTCCCAACCATCCTCGGCAGTTCATGGTATACTGCTGCATCACTGTAGTTCCTGTCTGGGCACCAGTCATTGTGTTTAGGGCCCACCCCAATCCAGTGTGGCGTCATTAGAATTTGATCGCTTCTGCAAAGACCCTGTTTCTACTTAAGGTCACTTTTTCAAAAAAAGTTTTTATTGTGGATCGTGTGATAGTTTCCATGGGAGAACATTAGCTTTACATTCATCCTATCGTATATCATTTCATTGCCATGATTACAATCCCCTCCATGCATCATCAAACAACCAAAGGGTATACCCTGCAAGCCTACCCCTCGGTCGTCAGCACACAGCCCCTCTCCCTCTCGGGGTCTAGAGTCCCCAGCCGCTCCATCTCTCCACATCATTGTCTCTGCCTCCATCTCTGGCATCACTGCTTCTCTGGGCAGGGTCCTGCACTCTGCTCTTCTCCCTTGATGGTCCCAGGGACCTCCATTCCTGGACTGCAAAATCAACCACTCAGTTGTTCTGCAGGAGAAAGATGAGGCTTTCTGCTCCTGTAAAGATTTATAGCCTCAGAAAGAAACCCTGTACAGGGTCATTATGAGTTGAAACCGACTCCACAGCACATAACCAACCACCCATCCCTCCTTTTGCTACAAATCATCTACTTTTACATTTCCAATCCTCACAATCAGTCCTGATAACAATTATTCACTATTGTATCACAAGAGACCATCACCTTTCATTAGCCTTGCCCAGACAGATTAGATACTGCTCAGTGGAGATTCTACCTTCTTCCACACCCTTTGGATCTAGGCTCCCTCATGAAAGCTTGTAAACCAGTCACTTCTTGCCTTTTTAGTTCCACTCCCACCCCTGATGTTGGGTAGCCAATATCCAAGTTGCCCATCCCTGTCTACCCTGTCTGCTGAGGGGGTGGGAATGATCCTTGCTGTAAAAATTTGTTCCCTCTTTTGAGCTACTGCATCCATAGGTGTAGGTCAAGTTCATCAAACTGTATCAGATTACTCTTTTTTTCCCTCTTCATTCTTCTTCTAGTCGAGTTCTAGTCATCCAGCCATTAAGTGGGTATTATCTGCAAGTGTGGGTGTTCTTATGCATATGCCCTCACTTCTTATCAGCTGGACGCTTTACTCTCCACTCTAGTCATAAGGTCACATTTTGAGATTCTCAGTGGATTTGAATGTTGGGGGGACACTGTCCAACTTGGTATAGTGTGCTGAGAGGGTGTATTAGTGGGGAGACCCCAGAAGAGTGGAAAGAATAGGCCAGGGAGGTTCCAACATGGGAGGACAGGCAGGGTAAGAGGGAGAGGGCTGGGGAGGAGAGGCTAGAGCAGTGCTGAGAATTTCCACCTGTGACGTCCATTCGGCTCAGCGTGTCACCTATCCTAGGCTCTTGCTCCCACCTCACCAACAACGAGAGGCCACTTGATGCATT